TAAACAAACTCTTAATTTGAATAATGAATTATTGGTCAACAAAAACTCATCTCACTTATTATTTAATATTTTATTATAATTAAAAAATAAACCAAAGTAAAAATATATAACCACTTTGTTGCAACAGATATTATTCAATAAAAGTTCAATAAACTAAAATGACTTAAATAATCCACTTATTTTACTTGAATTTATAAACTCTCAATAAATTCCCTTGATTTACTGTTGTAGTGTCATCAATAATAAAAGAAATACTGAAGATGAAAGTGACAGGAAAAATGAAACTTGAAACTTTGCAACTTTCAAGGATAAAACCTCTAATGCAGTGGACAGAAATCTCCTTCTACTTCTTGACTCTCTTTGCTTCTTATTTTAAAGGGCACTTCAATCTACCGTAGTAACCAAGTATAATCTTGACTGAATAAGCTTACGATTGTTTTCAAGCATAAAAAAGAAGTATAAGGAATTTTCTGAAAAATTTTATTCTTTTAAGAGTGATTAAGATACTTATGTCCTAAAAATAATTTTATAGGTCACTAAAAAGTACCATTAAAATATAAAATACAATTATTATTTCTAATTAATAAATTTTTATAAAATAAATCTCTCGAGTTATTGAAACTTTCCATTTTAAAAAAACAGTAAAATATTTTGAAATGAATTAAAGATTTTAATTATAACTTTTAATTAAAACATGAATACAAGCAATAGTAATACTGATAAATCAAACTTTAGTGGTATCTATTTTCTTATCAGTCTGCAGGAATTTTAATGCCTTAATTAAGAATCGAAATATCTATGATAAGTAATTTAAAAGAACGACATCATTTCCCTGACTGGCGCATTAATATCAGAATTCCAATACTCAACAAGAGAACTTCTAAAACGTCGTGATGGTATTTCAATAATCTACTCAGTCTATTTAATTTCTTATATAACACGTCATCGATATAAATTTAGAATAATTCCTTCGAACCTTATGACATTTATTTTTTTTCCACCATTATTTTGATATATATTCCATCATAAATATTGTAATATATCTATATCTAGATCTAATAAGCTTTTATGATAAATAAAAAATCGCATAATTACCAAATAAATTGTTCAAATGAAATAGTTTGATACGAAATGATTATTATTATTTTGATAAAATATATTGGGTATTATTTTGATGGTAGTCTATGGCTTTTAATAACAACGACTATTAAGGTTTTCACGTGCATTGCCTGGATATAACAGTATATTAAGACTTTGAAAAATATGGTGAGTTAGGTCCGGTAAATGAGAACATTTAGCTACCGTATGACAAAGACGGTGGATAATAAAAACAAAATGCAGATTAATAAAAATGTGTGGAGAAAGAAAGAGGAAAAAGTAACTGATCGATTGAATTGGTTAAACGTTTCAAAGGGATACAAGCGAAATAATTCGATTCGTGTTCAATTTGTAAAGGACCAATAACAAGAGATATTGTAGTTTTGGTGTTTATGTAGAAAAAAAGAGGGATTTTTTGCTACAAAATATCTATGATTTAATTTTTTTTGTCTTTGAACTTTATTCATGGTTATTTTAGTAGAAAAAAAAATTAAGCATTTAATAGATGTAGCAAAAGAATAATAAATTGAATAACAGAAAGTGAATGATGAGTGATAAAAAACGTTATGGGAATTTTTTATGGTAATATTAGTTAATTTCGTTGTTATATTGTCATAGAATTGTTGGTGAAAATTTTGTTTGGATTTTTATTAAATGACCACTTTCTAAATCGGAAATTTTTTGATTGAATTTTTTTTGTAAAAGAGAAAAATTTTGGTTAAAGTATTGCATTTAAAAAAAATATTCCAAATATACTGTGAGTTATCTCGTGTTACGAAGTCATTCAAAGTTTTCAATAAAATTCCAATTTAGAAAAAAAATTTAAATTTTTTGACTTTGTCAAATAAAGCACAAAACACTCGATTTTTCGACTATTAAAATTTCAATGAGTATCAGCAATTAAATTAAATACCTAATTTTCTATGAAAAATAATAAAAAATATTATTTTCAAAGAGACTAAAAGAAATTTTGTTTTTTTTTTATCTTAGATAATCTTTTCTTTTTTTTTTTAAAAGTGTTTTGAAATTTAATAACCCTCTGAAACATATATTTTGATAAGAAAATCACTAAACCCCAAGTTTTATAGTCACACTGACATTGACTTGTCTGATATAAAAAAAGTATTTCGAAAACCCATTTCAGAATTTTTTTAATATTACATAACCCCAAACATCCCTACTCATAAAAAAAATTTCAATGAAAAAATTATTTGAAACCATTGTCAAGATCCCAGTAAAATTCCTTATTTCTCAATAAACAATATTCTATTGTTATAAACAAAAATTATAAAAAATTCTTTACCAAACAAATCTTGAAATATTTTCGTTATCTATTTCTCTAAGCTATATCCTGAGCTAAATCTTGATGTATATGTATATGATTGGAGGGTTGCATTTCAAAAAAAAAAGTAAGACAACAAAACAGTAAAGCACATGAAGGACTGCAGAGAGTACGATGATACTCTTTATGAGTATGGGATAGTAAGGGTGTGCTCAGTGTTATTATGAGTCTCCATGGGTGGCTTTTGAAAGCTTTTTGAGAGTTACTGTCTCGCCTACGGTAGATAGCCAGGAACTCACTTAGCGCCGAATTGCTGCGTACTTGGTCTCAGAAGCATTCGGGCTTATGGACCTAGCACTGTTTACAACCATTTTCCTTTTCTTGATATATATACATGTCCTATAACATGAAACTGGTCTCTATACGGTTAAATGGTTTTCGATCGAACAAATATCCTCCCTTTCTTGTCGTAGCCCGCAGAACCATTTTATCTATATTTCCAATATGGTTATGTTCCTGTGGGTAATATTGGCTAGCCTACAATATGTAATAAGTACACTCAATAAACCAAGTATGCTATAAAAATCTTTCGACCCTTCAAACACGATTCTTTCGCTTGATAGAGAAAAATGTATTAATTTTTTTTATTCAATCAACATTTTGTTGACTTTATGAATTATTTAGTTGCAACAATAAATTCAATTTGACTTGTTTCATGCTGTAGAGATATAAATTTGACATGAAATAAGTATGGTGATAAAATATCAATTTTTTCTTCATTATTAATTGTAAAAAATGAAAAAAAAGAATAATTTTTTGTTTTATTATAAATTGATTACATTTTAGTGCTAGAGCAGATATTTAATTGAAGTAGAAATTTACATGAGGGCTTTTGAGCTCAAAAAAAAATTCATTTCGTTATTTTTAATTGATTTTTATAGAAAAAATTTTATCATGATTTATTCATTTGTTTCGTCTTATTTATTTTATTTGCTGTTTTAAATATTTTTTATTACTATTTTATTTGGTGAACTGGAATTTATTTAAATTAAATTTTATTCGAGAGACTGTTGATATGTTTGTATTAACAAAATATTTCAATAAAAATCTATTATAATACAATGAAAATCATTTTATTACATCACACTTATTTCTATCTCATGTAGGTTATTTGTCTTAAATTTTTTTCTGTATCAACTTTCTGATTTATCCAATATCCTGTCAAGTAAAGCAATGTTTTCCTCATTAGATTAATTCTGCTCCCTAATAAATCTATTTCCAACTACGTTTTCCTTATAATGAACTCAAACAAGATCTTGGTAAACAATCTAATATTAACCCTTGAAACCACTATAGTATATTCCAAGCAATATTTACAAATGACCTATTCACTATTACTTTTGAGAAATGCAGAAAGTTCCTTGACGTTGACTATATAATTTTGTTTAACACTGACAGAGTAAGTACATATAGTTTTAGGTTGATAAGATTAACTTGGGATATGTGCATACTCTCTTAAAATGAAATAGTGAATATTCATTGATTTCTCAGTGAATAGTCACTATTTGCAACAGTTCAAATAGAACCACTGTGAAATAGTAGAAATACACCATTGAAACTAATTGGATGGTGCTAGGATTAAACTCTTTCACTGATTTCTAACAGTGAACCGATTGCACTATTTCAGCAGTGATTTTCAAAGTCACTGCAAAAAAAAGTGGATGGTTCACTGCTTCATTTTAAGAGAGTAGCTTAGGATAAAACATCACATAGAAGTAGGTATGAGAATGAACGAGAATCAGGGAAAATGAGTAAACGTAGGATTCTGTAATGCAATTAAGGACATGGACCATGTAGCGAAATCATCCAACATGTGGATTTTCCGAGCTCTTACGGGAGATAATCCATGACACAGAATGCAAATCGACGGTCTCGTTTCTATGGAGAGAAGCTCTCTGTCTCTCGAGTGAAAGAAATTGATCGATTCTTTAGATAAGCACTTAATCGTGCAAAATACGTATTGTTCTTTATCTATTGTTCAATTGACATTCTAAAGGAAAATTTATTATGGGAGTGTAATTGATTTGATTTAGTAAACATTCTAGGATTCAAATTAATGATGAAATCAGTTCTTCAGATAATGTATCAACTAAATATTAAATACCAGTCTTATGAATAATAATAATAATAATTATAATTGAACAAACAGTTTAATAACTTGATAGAAATAAGCAGTAATTACTGATCCAAACTAAATTGATATAATTTATTTCTGCTTCAAAAAAATTTGTTGAAAAAAAAAAACTTTTAAAGCAGATTCAAAAACAGTAAATTTTTTCAGTAATTGACTTGTTATTAGTGTGAATAAATTGATAACGATAGCGATTTTTTATTTTTTCATTGAATTATCTGGTGATGATGTTAAAAATATTCTCATGACTGGTAAACTAAACACGAAGTAGTTCGTGATGCACGAAAGGGAAGTCATGTTTAAAAAAAACAATTAACAATTAATTTTTTAAAAATTCATGTTGTGATATTAAATGGAAACGATTTTTAATAAAATCGGCAATTAGTGAACATGTAAATGATTTTATGAGAAAAAAATTCAATGACTCACCGATTTTCAGCTGAAATACTTTGATGGAGCTTTACAAGCAGGATTGACTGCATCACTAGATTGAAATAATAATTAAGTTATTTTTAGAGTTATTATAAATTAAAACTTTTCAATTAGACTATTAAATAATTCAAGAGAGTATTTTAATATTAAATATCATTATTTTTGAAAATAGAATAAGCTCTTCAACAGCTACTTTAATTTTAATTTTTTAAAAACATGTAGTTAGTTTATCCAAGGAATCCTGTTCATTTTTTTGCTTGTTTACTACCCAGGTATTTACATAGAACAAACAATAAAATTTCATTTCCATTAAAATGTTGATTCTACAGAGCGCATAAGACTTCAGAAAATGTAACTTCTCTATAAATTTGAATATTTTTTTATTTTTCCTCTATAAATAACCAAAGTGTAATGACTAATTTTCTTCTTGTTTAAAGATACTCTAAATTAAAAATTCATCTTCATCATCTTAAAACTGATGATCAATTATTTTTCTCTAATAATAAAAAATAAAATTTCTAAATTGTCACATCTGCTTATGTAGTTCATTTTGGCTTCAATTTTCTCCCATCACTTATTACATGATTTATGGATCAATTGATTTTATCTGAGTTACTACAGCAGACGACAGGCCATCAAAAAACAAAACACGTAAATATGTTATATCTATAGATAATTTATCGTATCGAGACGTCTACACAAACGGTATGAGCATAGAATATCATGCTGTATTATTTGTATTCATCACTGGGAATACCTATCACCTATCTTCAGTAAATTTTTATCGTAGATTTTTTTTTTCATCTAAATTCTACTAGAGTCATGAAAGTGCCGGTAAAATGGAATGCGAAAAATTTTCTATCTTCTATAGATATATATTAAAAAAAAAAAAAATTAAAAGTATAGTTTGGTAAATTATTATTTCATATTTTTGTCAAATCGATACTCATATAATCACTCTCTGCTACTCTACTATATTTTTAAAAATTTTTTTCATTTTCGATCTCTTGTTTTTTAAATATTCATTGGCAAATTAATTAAGTTGTTTCGAAAATATAATATGTTATACATAAAACAGGAACTTTTTAATATTGTTCTATCTTGAAGTCTTGCTATCACTACTTTTTTATTTTTTTTAATATTGATTTTTTTTTATATTAGTATTACTTGCATTCCAAAACTTTACCTTCCATCCGTAGGATAAACGTATAGTGCGAAGATAAAAAAGACTCGGAGAACTATAAAAGTTTCTTACAAAATCTCTCTAGAGCATAGAGCTGAGGGAATCAATATAATTTTTCCATTTCTGGGAAATATCAGAAATTGAAACTTCTATCGAAGTTTAGGAAATATTTTTTAACATTTCTCTTATATGTAGAAGCTATAAAAAACAGTTTATCAATTTGAATTTTTTTCATTTAAGTTTGTTCAATAGTGTTTAAATAATTATTCCAACTAAAAAGTTTTTGAAAAATTCCATTCTTCCAAAATAAAACTTGCTAATAGATACATTATTAATGAACCAAAAAATTGAATGATTTTAAAAATATCTGTTATCATCCAAGGGAAGAAAGGAGCTTAGATCAACAATAGGGGTGATCCTAAATTAGGAAGCGATGAGTTGAGGTAGTTAAGGGTTTTATGATAGGGCAGAAATTGAGGGAAACGTTAAATTTTTTCTGTAAATAAATATATCAACTAATTAATTGAACCAATTGTATAGTATTGGATTAATTAATTAATTAATTATGTAGAAGTTATTTAATCAAATAAAAGATTGAATAAAACGATGTTTTATTGTATTTTCAGATGCTGGAATTGTTGTAGTTAACAGGCGTTCATCGCTAATTAAAAATGGTAAGTGATTAAAAAATTATTTGTTATTTCATCAATACCTCTAACAATTCTTAATAGAAAAAAACAATTATTTTCTATTATTGTTAATAATGAATAGTAAATTAATGATATTATGAAAATAGAATTCATACATTATTTTAATTTAATTTTAATTTTATATATATATATCTATTGATGGAATATTATACTGATGAAATGGAATATTTCGTTCTACAGAATATATCAATCGAGAAATTGTAAGCTATCCTCTTGGGAAATTATTGAGCAAATAAATATTACATTTATAGCGGACCGAAAATATAATAAAAATGTTTGGTAATTTCTATTTTTTTTTTCCTTTTTTTTTATTGACAAATATGCGATTAAAGCTGTTTCCATGGTATTACCTTTAACTTTGTACATATTTCGTTTAAAGTTTCACATAATTGATTTAGAACTTTTCTTCAAGCATAAATAAATTCTTAAAACGCTGTAAGCGACATGAAAAAAGAACTTTTGCAGTTGAAAAAGCAAATATTATCTTTATTTACGAAGCAACTTTTACTTCGTTTGTTTATTTTTTAATGATGTTTTAAATAGCTTCGTCAACATTGCTTGATATCATCCACTTAGTTGTGACTTTTGTCATATCCTTCCAAGAAACAAAAATTTTGTCTTTGTAAAGTCAGCTTTTTAATTAGTAAACAATCAAGACAATCCTTTAAATGTATTGGGATTTTTTAAATGAATTATAAGAAGGAATTTATAAAAGAGATAATACCTTTTATAATCAGCAACCCTAGTAAGTAGCAAAAAAGTGGTAGTTCATTCCTGGCCCACTCGAATGTCAATTTAATCCAGCCCTTTTCTGGAGTCCTGAACATGGCCCACTTAATTTTTGAAGTACTTTTCTTGATATGACACTTGAAAGGGAGTAAATTCAAACCTAAAAGAGAAAAAAAAAATTAGGACCATTTAGTAATTATTTATGCAATGAGTAGCTCTATGCTAGTAGTAAGATAGTTCAGCATTGTTATTAAATATTTCAATAACATTACAGTATGCCGTAGGAAAACGTGATCAGGCTCACATGCATGATCATATTTCATTGCTATAATTACAGTACAATTATAGTATATACACCATGTACTGACACCAGTAACTAGCAACTAAAAATCCCTACCCAGCACTATCCCTTTTTCAGCCTGATACTAAATATGTGCATAATTATTTTCAACTAAAGATACATCTTCCTATAAAATGAGCTATCATGTCAGTTTTATTATAAATGAATATTTATTGGAAAATTTTGTATAAATATTGTTCAATTAGTTTGGAAAATAATAGAAAAGCTTATTCAATAACGAACAGTATATTTTTTTTGTATATGAAAAGTCTTCAAATTAGAGAGGAATAAAATGTGGTATTTTTATTATTTATTTTTTAACTAAACGAATAAGGTATCTCGATAACTAAAAAATATATGTTGAAAATGTTTTTTATCCTTTACAATAGAATTGTATCATTAAAATATGCTTTAACTGTATTTTTCTGTAATAAAAAATAAAAATTTCTTTTATCTACAAAAACTTTTGCATCATTAACAAATCTATGTAATTCACTAGTAGTTTGAAAATTGTGGCATTTTGGTAACACTTCAATAGTTGGTTTACATTTGACAGTATTATGTTACTTTGTTACTCAAAAATTAATTTATATTTTTACTTACAAAATTACACAGAGTGAAGTTTGAAAGTAAAAACAATAACGGAAGCAGGAATTCAGCATCATAAATAGATATTATTTCACTGTTGATAAGGAATGAAAGAGGTAGAATGTGGAGTGAGATATAAAACAATATAGGAAAAGACAATATCTCTTTCGAACACACGAAAATGCTAATATCACTCTGACTTTAATATTTTTACAAATATTGCACGTATATAGTAATTTAAAAACTTTATAAATGTTATTCTCTGTAGGACTTTAACTGAAAAAAAATAAAACCATGCATATAATTTAACCTTATAAACATTTTTTCTATCACAATTTGCATTAAACAACAAAAGATAAAAATTATTTATGCTACTCATTCGTATAAATATTCATTACACATCACCAAACCTAGAAAGATTATAAAAATATTTGCACATTTTATGATTCTAGTTTTTTTTTTGTTTATAAAGTCCACTTCAATAATAAAGTTTCAACAGTTAGCATATTTGACGAGACCAGTAACATATTGAGATGTCGATATGCAGAAAAGTTATATAAAATGTAAATTCACATAGATACTAATACATTCTATTCATCGAGTTCGATGTGATGGACTTTTTTTTTTGTCAATTTCTATAAATGTATAGCGAGGAGTAGACAATGTTTAAGCACTGAAGTTTTGATAGTAAGAAGATATACAGAAAGGAATAAGTAAAGTTCCTATATATACATAGGAAAGTTACTTAAAGGGTGAATATCAATGTAAACCTCGTAGGATATGCCTTATATATTTATGTGTTAGCCTCAGTAAGTGATGTAGCATTTACATAACTTTAACCCCAAGCCTATTTTCAGCCAGTGGATTTGTAAATGTCAGTATTTTTTTTGTAATCGAATGTATAGTTGAATGGCATATTCAATCTTATCAGTTATGCCAATCTAACGAAAAATATATTTTTTCAATATTTTTATATAGATTAAGTAATTTGATTCATTTTTATTCAATAATGATTCATTCTTCAACAATTTGCCAACAATAGTTTAGCTATCAACTCAACTCTTTATTGTTATTATTATTTGAGCTTGTTAAGTTTTTTTTATATTAATAATTTTTTATGTTAAGACACTTGACGTCTAACAGTTCTAGAAGTTTTAAAATTAGAATAATTGTGTCTCCATACTTGTATTAATGATATGCAAGTTAAAAATACAATTTGAAGTTTTTATTTTCTACATTTTCTCGTATTCATGTAAATGTCTTGGAAAGCTTTAATAAAAAAAAGACAACTTAAAAAGGATTGAATTTCTTTCTTTTTTTTTGTTCAATGAAAGCTTTCTTAACTTTATGAATTAAATTTTATTTTTAATTTAGTATATTTTAATTTAATAAGACTGCAACTTTGGATTGTAACGTATATTTAAAAAAGAATTTATTCTCTCATATTTAATCATTCATTTAATTTTAAACTAAAGTTATTGCTTAAAAAATCTTATTTTTGTTCATTAGTCTTTTCCTATTAACAATGATTTTCACCTACTTATCAACATCATCTGCTGATACAAATTACTCCAATAATTAGAATCAACTAATTTTGATAAATATTGATTTCGATTGTTACTTGATACTCAAAGATAAAAATAACATGTCTGCTCGAAATATAAGGAAGCCCATAGAAGAAAGAATAAGTGAGTATGTCTTGAGTGACATAAGAAACATATAAATGAGAAAAGTTATAAGCACTACTATTTGTTCTAATTCTAATAAATATCTATACACGTTAACGTAGGTTGGTTGCTTCTATCATTTATTTAAATCCCACTTTCTAGAGTAAGCATTAGAGATAAAACGGAAAAATAAAATCAACATAAATAATATAAATACACTCATTTTTCAATACCAAATAGCCAAACTCCATTTTCACTAAATTTCTGTTTTATTCTAAAAACATAAACCATCAACAATAATCTAAAAACATGTTTGACAATGTTTAATGCATGTTTTTTTAAAATTTTATTGAATGACTCTAACGATGGAGTATACAACAGGTATTGAAGCATACCTGGTCCTTGATCTTTAAATAGAACAAGTGTTTTTATTTTTAACTTTGCATCACTCAAGTGGATTAATATTATAATTGAAGATTACAAAGCAAATAGTTAATTCATCTCAAGACTATAAATTGATTTGATAATATCAATTAAGAGTCATGCTTCAAATGGGTTATTTAAATAATAAATGAGCAAGTTTACTAGAGAAAAAGGGTGTGAGTTAGAAAATACAGAAAGGATTCATAAATGGGCATTTATCTACATGCGTGTTATATACACATCGAAACACGCGAATGAACTCCACGTGCGGCACGCCCGCAAATTGCTACAATAGTGGCTAAGCAGCTCGATCCATTCATTTAACTTGTCAAGTCAACGACGCTGATATATGATCTCTTCTGATTTTACATCCTAAAATCATTTATATCCTGTTTCAACTTATTTTTACATTTTATTTAACATCTCTTTCACGTATATTTTTTATTTTTCATTCAATCATTTGCATGAATAAATTATAAAAAATAAAGGATGTTATAAAAAATGTTTGACAATGAATATATTCAAGAGTAAATTTTATCACACGCCTCTAGTACTCATTGTAGACAAAGTTAATGGTTCATGTACTCAGGCTTGCTCGATACGAACGCACTGCACCAACTTGTTATGCCGACTACTCTCCTGTACATAGTTGCGGTGTTTACTTGAAGATACCGCAGCCTCTAGGGTCCAGGGAATTAAATCCCATAATTCCGGTGTGGCTTTGAAATTCAACCACAATAGTTTTAGTAGAATTGTTGAAAAATACTGTGTTATATTCTAATGGATAATTTTCGCTTTTTGTCATTTATCTGTTTGTTATAATTATGATCCAATCAATTTTTTTTTTTATATAAAAATCATTATTGTTCCATTCTGACACACAATTATAAGTTACAATAATTGTCTGAGATTCAACAATTATGATAAACTTCAACTCTAATTACTCTCAATAAAATCGATTAGTTTCATTGAAGTAAATAAAAAGTACATTATTTGATGATAACGACTGTCAGTGATAAGAATTGAGGGATTTAATAATATAAAAAGTAAAATGGAAGAATAAAATATGGTTTAATTAAATTAATGAAAGTTTTTCTTAACAAATGATTATAAACAATGTGTATTGAATCGAGAATTCATTTTATTTTTATAATTATTGATAGATATTAGAATATGTAGTTAGATTTGCCATTATATCTCTAATAGGAACCCGAGTTCCTATTAACCCAAAGTTAATCTAATGAAACCTTTATTCTTTTTATTCACCATAACAACCTCATTCTCTTTTTACAAATTTTTTGTCCTCATGATGAATATTTCCCATCAACGAGATTTGATCGATTAAATCCTCTACTAACACCCAAATAAAATCCTTGAAGATTAGATTGCAGTTTCTAATCCAATGACAACGCAAAATACTCATGCGGATCTTTTTTCAAAAATAAAACCATATGGAAGTAATTTTATTTGTAAAATTGAACCGTACAATAAGTCAGAGTAATGTTACCATTTTTCATCTATTTTTTGTCCTTGTTCTATCATCCAATCTATGAGGATAGAAAAAAAAATCCCCAGAAAATTTAACGGGAACACAAAAGGGTGAAAATAGAAAAGAAGGTACGACTTAGCGGCATCTCTTTATTTCACTGGTTCTTGAACATTGTGGGAGTGTCTCATCGCGTAAAATAGAGCACTATGGTAGTGTAGCAAAAGCATGGAGAGGAACGGGTTGACAGAGGCGAGAGGTATGATGTACTGAGTACACGATGGTCCGAGGGGTTGGGTCTATAGGAGAGGAGGCTCCAACACCAGCGGACGTTATCTAAACCGTTGGTAATTTACAACAAGAACTTTTTCATGATGAAAAATCACCTTTCCAGAGTATCGCTCGAGTTTCTCCATCATGTCCACAGCTACAGGAATATTAAAGAAAAAAGAGTATGAAAAAAATGAAAGACTAGGAAATTTGGCAAACGAAAATACTGATCTCAGCAGAAGGAAATTGATCACAAGATTAATGAGCTCAAAAAATTAAAAAGTTTAAGAATTAAAAAAAAATGAACAAAAAAGACCAATTTAAAGTTGTAGTTATTATTTAACACCTGGGTTATATAGTGTAAAATTGAGAAAAGTTGTTAGATA